TGCACATGTTCCTATCATCTGCAGACGTTCCTATCATCCACAGATGTTCCCTTACAGATGTACCTAACTGCACATGTTCCTATCGTCTACAGACGTTCCTAACTGCACATGTTCCTATCGTCTACAGACGTTCCTAACTGCACATGTTCCTATCGTCTACAGACGTTCCTAACTGCATATGTTCCTATCGTCTACAGACGTTCCTAACTGCACATGTTCCTATCGTCTACAGACGTTCCTATCATCTGCACATGTTCCTATCATCTGCAGACGTTCCTATCATCTACAGACGTTCCTATCATCTGCCGACGTTCCCTTACAGATGTTCCTAACTGCACATGTTCTTATCATCTACAGACGTTCCTATCTGCAGATGTTCCTATCCTGTGCCGATGTTCATATCTGCAGATGTTCTTATCATCTGCACATGTTCCTATTATCTACAGATGTTCCTGTCATCTGCTTACGTATTGTCATCTGCTCGTTCAGGCTCAGTTGATAGCACAGTCGATCGGACAAGCATTCCAGGTCGCCTACGTGGAGTTCCTGAAAGCGAACGGCATAGAAGATCCGAACATCCTGCGCGAGATGGACTACCAGGAGGTTCTCAACTCGCAGGAGATCCCGGGTGACGAGCTGAACATGTTCGCTAGCAAAGAACAGCAGAAGGAGGTGGGGAAGAACAACGTCTGTGGTTTGCGAACCTAGCTGATCGCGCAGTAACAACGCAAAGCCTGAGTGTTTCATTGTTGTAAGAATCACGTTTCCGAGTAAAAACAGCATTTGTGTTAATTCACCAGTTTTCACATAATAATCCCCAGCTTTTGTAACGAAATCGGTTCTACAAAAACAATTACACGTCTCATCAAACTGGTGAGCTGATCCCGTTACGAAAGCGAGCGATTTCTACTTACTAAAGCAGCCAATTCTCACGAAAACATCTCGTACAAAACTGGTGAGATGTAAAAAAAACACTGTCGATTTCTCTTTTTTTTAAAGCGGCGAGCTCTCAAAAGCTATGAGTATTCCACGCGCGCGGCGAGAAATGACGCACGCTTCTCTGACGCTCGTTTTTCCCCTTCCTCTGTAGATCATTGTCCCGAAGCAGCGGGGGGAGATCCTGGGCGTGGTCATCGTAGAGTCCGGCTGGGGCTCGATGCTGCCCACGGTTGTCATAGCGAACATGTGTCCGCAGGGCGCGGCCGCGCGCTGTGGTCAGATCAACATAGGTGACCAGATCATCTCGCTGAATGGTGTCAGCCTCGTTGGTCTGCCGCTGTCCAGCTGTCAGAATTATATCAAGGTACCTTACCTGTAGCTTACCTGTAGTTTATCTGTAGCTTACCTGTAGCTTACCTGTACCTTACTTGTTGCTTACCTATAGCTTACCTGTACCTTACTTGTTGCTTACCTATAGCTTACCTGTACCTTACCTGTACCTTACTTGTTGCTTACCTGT